TTTTTTTTTTTTTTAAAGAGTGCTTTACACTAACCTGCATCCCCAGCTCTTTTTATTTTTAAAATTTTGACACAGGGCCTCAGTAAGTTGCTGAGGCTGGCCTTAAACTTGTGATCCTCCTGCCTCAGCCTTCTGAGTCACTGGAATTACAGGCATGTACCTCAATGTCTGCTACCCTATGGATATTCTTGTTTGTATACAAAAAGAGAATGTATACAGCTATTTGCTATAGCGTTGTTTGTAATAGTGAAAATTGAAATGTACCTAAGGTCAATTTTAAACAAAAATTACCTACATCTACACAACAGAATAAATGGAATACTGCATAGATATAGAAGAATCTCTAATTCCGAAAATTCTTTTGCTATCTTTGGTAAATATATGTCTAAGATGTGACTATGTTAAGACCCTGATGATATCACTTTGCAAATGATCCCTTTTAATGGGGCATTTAATAGTAAAGAGGGTAGGAATAAACAGGTAGAAAGAATGAGTAATCGTTTTTACAGTTTTACTTAATAAATATTAAATTTCCTTATAGAAAGTATAGGACTTTTACCAATTAAATAATATTTGAGTAAAAACAAATGTATCTGAATACAGATAACCTTATTAAATAAAAATCCTTTCTTTGTACATCCAAATTCATGAATAGGTTTAAACTGGCAGTACCTATTGTTCATTTATTATGGGTGGATTTCCCATTTTACAGACCAACCTCTCACTTATGGGAAGAGAGGTTCCTGGTTTCGGAATGTCTTTAGTATACATTTCCTTATCCCAGAGGAGCAGAATTCTCCTAATATCCATCACATAACATCCACTTGCAGCAGCAGGGAATTTTGCAGAGGTACTTTTCTACTCCAGAGCTATATACATACAAAAGAATGTTCATATATTTAAAAGCATAATGCATAAAGGATAATTTCTTGGTAACCATATATGCCCCTTAATCTCATCAAACCATAATTTGCTCACTGTTCCTCAAATAAAAATTTCTATTTCTTGTCTCTTTTAACATCCTCTTTCACCTTTTATCCACTGCCCTCAATTGGAATCCTACATATGCATCTATATAAATACTACCATTTCAAGGTCCAGGCAAACTCCTATCTCTCCATTAAAGGAAAAGGTCTTTGCTGACTATTTTAACCTATAATAATCTAAGCTCTGACTCTAGCCTCTGTTATCTGGCTCTAATATTTTGCTGCTTAATACTGTTAACTAGCTTTCCACAAATTTTTGAGTTATCTCCCAGTTAGATTGCAAGTTCCTTAAAGGCAGATTCCTATATTGTTTTTCCTCTATTCCTCATGCACCTACATAGTAGATATAAATGTCCTCGATTTATGACCCAATATATATAATTGGTGTTCTTTACAGATATTTCTAGAATACATCTATGTTTTTATATAAACATGGATGTTCTGCTACCCCAATAAATTGAGTGTTTGGTGTCAGAACTCATCAGCTGACTCTGTGTCCCAGCCACAGGACTGTAGTTGTTCATCCTGTGGGAACTCAACTACAATGTCATAAACAAAATTTGGATCATCTTTCTTCTTCTGATTTTTCTCAAAAAGTTCATCCATGATGCTCTTCCTTTTGGCAAGCTCCTTGTCATCTAGTTTGTTCAGGTCTTCCTCAGGATCAATGGTTGTTTCCCGTTGAATTTGTTCCATCGTTTCTGCCAAACTCTGTCCCCACAAGTAACCTCGTAAAAAAGTGAATAACTTCTTTAGCTGCTTCAGGGATACTTGTTCCAGGTAACTCTTGTGTCGTGGATTATTCTTTAACTGTTCAGCAGCTCTGGTACAGTCTAGGAAAGGGGGAAAACATATACTACATATATAATATACACCACAAGCAATTAATGCACCACAAACTGTTCCAAGAACAAAAATGCAGCAAAAAACTCAGAACCCTGAAATCATTATCCACATTATAGACAAGTGGCTAAATGGCTTTATTGGAATTAACTATTTATAAAACTATTTCTTTATAATAAATTGAGTGGGAAGGGGGAAGGATGGATGTATTTTTTACTTAACATAAAATCACTTTGTGGAGATATAAAAAATTTCAACTGAAGAGCATATCTAAGAAGAAAAAAATGGCATTATAGCTTTTAGGCAGCAGTAGTGGTAGTAATAAAATGTTAAGATTATGAATTAAAAAACATTTGGAGGGAGAGAAGTGAATTAATATTACTGAATAATGTTATCTCATTTAGTCCAGAACATTCTGAAAAGGATTTAATTATCAGTTAAAGAACTGGGGGGGGGGAATTATCAATTTCCTCTTATAGATATGGAAACTGAAGCTCACTGTCAATTTATCCAAAGGTCACATATCTAGTCCCTGATAAAGTCATGATTTGAATCTACATCTGTTGACTCTGAAGTCCATGTCACGTCATTGTAAGAGACTCAAACTGTACTTATTAAGCGACTTAGGGAACATTTTAGAAGGCAAGATAAAATATGAGGTACCTGAGAACTTTGAAAAATTTCGGACTGGCATGATGCGCTGGCGACTCTTTCCTTTGACTTCATTCTCATAGATTAAGATAATAGCTGGAGGCTGGAATCTAACTCCACATTTCTTGGCAGTGCACATCATTCTCACATAACTTTCAGGATAAATCAGAGGAAACCTGATGAAAATGTGTTAGTTGCATAATAATTTCTGCTGGCAGGGGTAGGGGAACAAAACAACTAGGTGTCGGATAGATAAATCTTCTTTCTTTGGCCCCACCTTCCCAGCATAGGCAGCTGTAGTCCAGTTCTGTGCATGCTTACCCTATGAAGCTCAATACTTAGAGGCCTAGCCTGAAATTCATTTTGGCTCTGGTTAATCTTAGTCTGTATCCCTAAATTTCTTTGGGTGGGCCAGGCAAGGTGGTACACACCTGTAATCCCAATGGCTCAGGAGGCTAAGGCAGGAAGACTGCAAGTTTGAGACTAGCCTCAGCAACTTAGTGAGACACTATCTCAAAATGAAAATAGGATTGGGAATGTATCTCAGTGGTAAAGTGCCCCTGGGTTCAGTCCCTTGGACAAAAAAAAAAAAAAAAGATTCTCTGGTTCATTGAAAGATGTAGGTATGTTCACATACGAGTTGGGAGTACAATTCAGATGGAGTTCTTAGAATACGACACTCTTACTGAAGACTGTATATGAACCCCTGAGTGAACCCAAGAACTGACTTATGGAGTCTTTCCTATTTATTAATTAAAAAACTGTGTAACAGGCACTTTTTATATCAAGGTACTATGGTTATTTTAACTTTTGACATTTTGTCAGGCTGGCAAATGGTGTACACCCTGTAATCCTGCCTACTTAGGAGGCTGAGGCAGGAAGCTCCCAAGTTGGAGGCCAGGCACCTGGGCAACTTGCCAAGATGCTGCCCCAAAATAAAAAAATAAAAAGGAGGTTGTAGATATAGCTCTGAGTGCCCTTGGGTTCAATCCTTAGTACTTTAAGAAAAAATTGTCCTTCGAGGTTTGCCAGATCAAATCTGACTCCCGTATACTTGCTCAATTATTTTACTCACAGAGTCTTTTTGAAATTGTTCATTTAATCATTCATCTCCCCTTCCAGTTTATATGCTTCATGAAGGTGCATATCCATTTTCACCACAACATCTCACAATATCTGGAATGTAGTTGGCATTCTATACATACTTCTTTTTTTTTTTATTGGTTGTTCAAAACCTTACAAAGCTCTTGACATATCATATTTCATACATTAGCTTCAAGTGAGTTATGAACTCCCGTTTTTACCCCAAATACAGATTGCAGAATCACACTGGTTACACATCCACATTTTTACATAATGCCATACTAGTAACTGTTGCTATACATACTTCTTAATGCTATCTATTAATATAACACATAGCTCCTGTATGTCATCCAAGTATTTATAGTCCAGAAACCTGATCAAAGAGGCCACATACCGGTCAATAATGTTTACATGGCCTTTATTTCAGCTTATTTTTCTCACTACGTGATATTCTTCCAGTTATAAAAAAATGGAGCTATTTCCAGATTAGCACTTTCTGTTTTTTCTTCCCTTCCTCACTCTCAGTGTCAAATACATTTAATTATAAAAACTGCTTTAGATGTGGCTATGACATTCTCAGGAAGATTTGAAAATTGTCAAAAACTGAGGTAGTTTTATTAGAGATTCACTATAAGACTGTAGTTTTTAAATATTTTAAAAGTAATTATACATGCTCATTGTAGAAAACCGAGGAAAGTAATCTCCCTTGATTACTTCATCCTTTTTTTCCCCTATACATACGGTTTTATTTTTTAAACTGTCATATATTTTTACATCATATATACTATTTCCTTTTATTAACCTATGTGATTATTTCATTAATACATATTTTACTAAAAGGCCATTTTTATAGCTGCTATGTGGATTTGTCTTATAATCTATATTATCACTTCTTATTGTTGAATGTGAAAATTTGTGTTCTGCCTCTGATACGATGCAATGATCAAATACTACTCCCAGTTCACTAAAATTTGATGTTAGTAAACTTTCTAGGAGATCCTACTGAGCACAATATAAACTGCACACACTACAGCAGATGGATGATGTACTTGGGAATGATGTATGCAATTGATACTCAATAGTGTAGATTCATTTACTATAAGACTTTATTTTCTCTTTCAAGTTTAACTTTCATTTTTACTAAAAAATGTTTGTATTCTGCTTGGAATATAACATAAATCCCAGGAGGATTATAATAAAAAACTACTGTCCATCTCCATAGTCAACAAGTTTCAATTCTTTTAGGCACTTTTCCCCCCCAAAATTTATCTCCATATTTCTAAATAACATGATTATTCTGCTATTTTCAGTTTAAGATAGACACACACGCTACTTTTTGAGACATCCGCTCTAGAGCTTTCTGTCCTACCACCAGGAGAGGGTTGTTTCCACCCAACTGCATAGCACAAAAGCACTCCCATCTGCAGTAGGTGCTCTCTAGGCTGCTTACAGATTTCGTTCAGTTCAGGACAAGCGACGGCACATTACCTAATTATTCTTCTTAGACATGAATACTTTTCTGCCCAGGCATAAATAACTGTGAAGGTCTTGATAATTGGCCCCCATAGAACCTAAAGAGATTAGATTTCCCAATGGGTAAAATAACCTCTCCCTACTCACGTCCCCACCAGTGTAAGGATGACTTCTTACCCGTAGAGAAGTACAGAAAATGTTTTTCTCCTGCAGGCCAACGTCTAAACCGCTGGGAGAGGGTTGTTTCCACCCAACCGCAGAGCACCAGAGCGACTTAGGTCGACTTTGAGGCCGGGCGGAGCCTGGCGCTGCAGGAAGAGGCCGTAGCCACAGATCGCTGACGTCACCGCAGGGTGAACTCCTCCGTAGGAGGCCGGAGCACTCTAGGACCTGGCACCGGTGGAGGAGGCCCACTCCGAGCACAACCCGCTCTCAGGACTGAGAGCCTGGTCCAGGGCCCGCTGGGCGGCCCGCTGGGCGGCCCGCCCTCCCGAACCCCTCGAACCGTTCCCACAGCAACAGCCCGGGTACACGTCACGACGCTTGCGTCGCTCCTTGCCCCGCCTCCGACCGGGGCCGCGGGAGGCGGGGCGGCACGAAAGCGCATTTTGGAGCCGGCCCTGCTGCTTTACATTTGGCAGGAGCTTTGTGGTGCTGGTGCTGTGGAGAACTGGGAAACCGCAAGGCCGCGGGCGTGCGTTGCACTTAGCCCTCGGTCCTAGTCCCTTAAGTCGGTGACTGCGCACTCTAGGAGCGGCGTGAGGCGTGTGTAGGCTCCCTTTTGCGTCTGCATCTGGTCCCCGCGCTCTTCTCGGGCGTCCGCTCTCCCGCCGGCGTCCTGGCTGCCCAGGCCGTGGCTGTCCGGGTCGTGGCCTGGCTGCTCCTCGGGGCGGCTGGGCTCACCCAGACGCTCGCCGCCAACTCCTCTGACGCCCCCTTCAGTGCTGGTAAAGGGGGCGGGGCTCGGGAGTGAGGTGGGGCTTGGCAGAAACTCCAGGCTGCAGGGCCATCTCCGCGCCGCGGTTAGTTAAGGTGCCTCGCGTACTCTGCGCGGCACTCTGGTAGGGCGAGGGTAGGGCGAGGTGGAGGAGGTTAAAACAAAGGCCGCGTGCCTTTCTCCTCCCCTTTTCCCTCCCCTTGCTCGTTGTTGTCTAGCCGATTCCGGGAGTTTGGAGAGATTTAGTCCGGGCTTAGTCCGTCCGAAGTGGGACTGGAGCGCTGTTTTAAAATATGGTAAAAGAAGTACAGCTGGGAAGCATCTTGCGATGCATTGCATGAAGCTTCCAGCCGCTAACGGGCTAGAAAAACCTCCGTGTCCTGAGAGGTGTGAGAATCCCAGAAGAGCAAAGAGTCTTGGGTTGTGCGTGTGCGGAGGAAACTAGTTTTGTTTACAAACTTTTTTCGTGATTGACTGGTTTGGGGTAGGTGACTCGGGGTTGGGTCAGGAGTTGATGCATATCTTTGGACCCGAGTCCGTCAGCCTTAATGTTCTGCCAAGTGCTGTGGATCCATCCTTGAGCCAGTCATGGAGCTTGCAGGATAGTGAGGGAAAGACACTTACAAGAGAAATTACAATGCAATGACCACGTTTGGATGGGGAGGGAAAGTTAGCACAAACTGTGTGAGTTTCTCCGCCTGTAAAATAAGGGTGTTAGACTAGTATGTGTCAATCAGCACAGTTCTGCTTTTGTGTGTTTACAGAATTACACTTCCAAATTTATTTTTAAAAATGATTATCAGAACAAAGAATTTTCAAGCAGCTGGACTTGACATCTGTAAAGATTTCTCTAGCTTTGAATTTTATATTGAAAAGGGGTCACTTGACAGAGACCATTTAATCCACCTCAACCAAATAATATTTAAGAGGAAAAAAAATCTTGAACGTGAATCCAGATGCTTGATCTTCAATTTGAAATGATACTTTTGTCTTAAATATCATAAGTAACTAATATTTGCTTGCCTATTTGTGAATTGGCTTTTCTACCACCCCAGGATGAATGGTTTACTACTCTAGAGTACATCCCAATAGAATTTAAACCTGTTCATTAGACCAGAGACCTTGTGCCTATTAGAAGAAAATGTAGGCCCAGCTCTCTATCATGTCAACTTAGGAACTGTTCTTCAGTGACACTCCTTTAGAAGTAAAATCAAGAATCAATAAATAGGGTGATATCAAACTAAAAAGCTTATTCCTAGCAAAGGAAACAAGAATATGAAGAGAAAGCCTATAGAAGGGGAGAAAATCTTTGCCACCTGTACCTCAGAGCATTGATCTCCAGGATATATAAAAAATCTCAAAAAACTTAACACCAACAAAACAAAACGAAAACCCAATCAATAAATGGGCAAAGAAACTGAATAGGCACTTCACAGAAGAAATATGATCAGTTAACAAACATATGAAAAAATGTTCAACATCTCTAGCAATTAGAGAAATGCAAATTAAAACCACTGAAATTTCATCTTACTCTGGTCAGAATGGCAATAATCAAGAATACAAGAAATAACAAATGTTGGTGGGGATGTGGGGAAAAGATACACTCATACATTGCTGGTGGGACTGCATATTGGTGCAACCACTCTGGAAAGCAGCATAGTGATTCCCCAGAAAAATTGGAATTGAACCATCATTTGACCAAGTTATCCTACTCCTCAGCATATACCCAGAGGACTTAAAATCAGAATACTTCAGTGATGCAGCCATATCAATGTTTATAGCAGCTCAATTCGCAATAGTTAAGCTGGAACCAACATAGGTGCCCTTCAACAGATGAATGGATAAAGAAAACATGGTATATAAACAATGGGATATTACTCAGCCTTAAAGAAGAATTAAATTACAATGTTTGCTGGTAAATGGATGGTACTGGAGATTATCATGCTAAGTTAAATAAGCCAATTGCAAAAACAAAAACAAAAACAAAACAAAAAACCCGAAACCCCCCAAAACACCAAAGGTGGAATGTTCTCTCTGATATGCAGATGCTAACACACAATACTGGTGGTAGTGGTGAACAGAATAGAAGTTCATTGGATTATACAAAGGGGAATGAAGGGAAAGGAGGGGCGATGGGAATAGGAAAGACACAGAATGAATTGAACATAACTTTCCTATGTTCATATATGAATATATGAACAGTCGAACTCCACATCTGTACAACCCAGAATGGGAAGTTATACTCCATATGTGTATAATAGATCAAAACACACCGTATGTTCATGTATATCTAAAAAGAATTAAAAAGCCTATTAATTTGAGAGATAGATGGTATCTGTTTATTTGGAGAAAAATTATATGCTTCTTCAAATCAAATAAGATTTCTTTAAGTAGCCAAGAGTGAAAATATCATAGGCTTTTATAAAAAAGTCAGGCAAGCAAGGTAGTGGTGCACACCTATAATCCCAGTGGCTTGGGAGGTTGAGGCGGGAGGACCATGAGTTCAAAGTCAGCCTCAGTAATTTAGCAAGGTCCTAGGCAATCCAGTGAGGCCATGTATCTCAATAAAATATGAAAAATGGCTGGAGTTGAGTGCCCCTGTGTTCAATCCCCAGTACGAAATAAAGTCAGGCAAGTCCACACTTATATTGAACAGTTTGGGAAGCTGAGGCAAGAACATTGTAAGTTCAAGGCCATCCTTGAAATTTCGGGAGACCCTGTCTAAAAAAGGGCTGAGGATGAACTCATTGATAAGGAACCTCTGGGTTCAATCCTCAGTACCACAAATAATCAATCAATAAATGGTAAAACTTGCTTCCAATCAGTCACTTAGTTTTATGCCCAGAGCCTGTTGCTAACTATAAGTCTGAGTTTCCTGTATGTACTAATGAAAGTAATTTTGCTTGCCTGTTTGCTGGTTGTGAAATTTAAAAGAAAACATGAAAGCCCTAGGTGGAAGATTGAATGTAAAAGTAACATTTTCTAATATTTTTTCCTAATTTCAAATGGTTTCTTCAAGTCATATTTCTTAATACATCCTTTCAGGATTATATCTAATGTGTTCAGTAATATTTCATAATATGAAGTTTTCTGTGTTTGTTTTAATATTCTTTCTATATAGTTCTAACTTTTGAGATGGGGTAAAGTTCTATAGCAAGATAGGTGCTGGTAGTATTGGTGGTGATAGAAACTGAATCTTTAGTTTTATGACACTTACATTGAGTGTTAAGTAATTTTTAGTGTCTGAATTTTGCATGGTGTCAGTATAGTAAGATTTCTATTTATTCTAAGTTTACAAAGGAACCCATTTAGCATTTAAGTGACTCCAGTTTTCTTGCCTTTTTATTTAACCCAACATCTCCACAAGGCGTAAATGTACAATTGTCCCAGTTTTATTGGCATGGATGTTAGAATACAGAAGTTTCTATTATGTCTCTCTATGTACATAGTTTCATTGAGCCAGAATTAAAATAGATTTCCTGGCTCTTTAGCCATTCTCTTCTTTTTTGGTGTCCTGGGATCATCTAACTAAAGTATTTTTGGTGGTGGGCTGCAGATTGAATCCAGGGCCTCGGGCATGCTAGATAACCGCTATACCACTGAGTTATACTCCCAACCCTAAAGTACTATTAATAACAAACACTTATATAGAGCACTTACCATATGGTAGGCTCTGTTCTAAGAGTTTCTCCATATCCTAAATTCTTATGATAACCATAGAGAGAGAAACTATCTTGCCTAGACACATCACTATTAAGTGACAGACTGGAATTTGAAATCAGACAATCTTAACTCCAAAGTCAATATCTGCCCCCCTCCTTTTTTTTTTTTTTAGTACTGGGGATTGAACTCAGAGGCACTTGATCACTGAGCCACATTCTTGGCCCTTTTTATTTTTTATTTGAGACAGGGTCTCAGTAAGTTGTTTAGGGCATCACTGTGTTGCTGAGGCTGGCCTTGAACTTTGGATCCTTCTACATCAGACTCCTGAGTCTCTGGGGTTACAGGTGTGGCTCTATAGTCAGTATTCTTAACCACTATGTTGTACTAGAAATAGATTTAGAGGTAGCTCAAACTTGTTTTTGTTTGCTTTTAGATTGACTACTTTTCTGGCAAGTAAAACCTATTGAAATAATTATTTTCTAATTATTTAAATATTCTTTCATTGAGTGCTTATTTAAAAAAATCTTTTCATTCTTATAGGCATAAGGGCCACTTGTTCTGAAATTATTTTAAGACAAGAAGTTTTGAAAGATGGTTTCCACAGGTAAGCTGCCCATTGATTTCTATTTATTTTAAAGTACTATCTTATAATTTAGATTAAAAAGTTGATAGTTGAAATAGATAAATTGAGGGCTGGGGATGTGGCTCAAGTGGTAGCGCTCTTGCCTGTCATGCGTGCGGCCCAGGTTCAATCCTCAGCACCACATACAAAGATGTTGTGTCCACCGAAAACTAAAAAAAGAATAAATGTTTAAAAAAAAAAAAAGAAATAGATAAATTGAAAAATCACTTTTAAAGTTTATCAGTGAGAAATTTATCATGTGTGGTTCATACTTAGAAATAATGTTTCTTTTTTTATAC